CGACATACTTAGAGGGAATGAACGTAAGTTCACTTTCCCTGACATAGCACAGACAACCCTCTCTGAGCTCAAGCATGCTATCTCCAATATAGCTCTTTTCGCTCACTCCAAATCGGCTGCACCATTTTCTATCATGATTGATGCCTTAGATGTCCCTGTAGGAGCCGTCCTCCAACAACATGTTGATGGGCAATGGCAACCACTTGGGTTCTTCTCCAAACGCCTGCATCCAAAGAAATCCCGCTACAGCACGTTTGGCAGAAAACTCCTCGCCATTTACCTTGCCATTCGTCACTTCCGGCATGCAATTTCACGGTCTACAATGAACATACGCACCTTATCTTCAGCTTCAACTCGCCTGAAACAAATACTCACCCCGCGAGACAAGACATGTAGACTTTGTCACGCAGTGCACTGCCGACATACGTCATATCTCAGCAACCCCGTCGTTGAGGTTCTCCTACCCGTCAACCACACTCTCCAGTCCTTGCGTACCGTCAACCTTGCCGCCATGGCATCGGCTCAAGATGAAGACATACAGTGCACCTGCGGTCCACTTCGCTGTACGTATAACCTGTTCCTGTCCAAATCATGGAAGGAACCATCCTCTTTGACACTTCCACAGACGCTTCGTGCTCCAGCAGATGCACAGTATTTGACACAATCCACTCACTATCACATTCGGGTATCCGTGCATCCTTGAAACTGGGCACCGAGGTTTCGCATGGCCATGCGTAAATAAAGATTTTCGTACCTGGCCTCGCGCCTACCTTCAATGCCAGCGCTCTAAAATATATCGTCACGCCCACAATCCACTTGGTTCATTTGCGGCCCCGGAGTCTCGCGTGTACACTTAGACTTGGTAGGTCCCTTGACTAATTCACGCGGATTTGTATACAATCTTACATATGTCGATTGCTTCACCAGATGGCCAGAAATCATTCCCGTAACAGACCATACGACTGAGACTATTATCCGAGCCTTTTTAAATCGGTGGTTCTCGCATTACGCATGCCCATCCACCATCACAACTGGCCGTGGGACGCCCTTCGAATCTTCACAATTAGATGTGTTCTGCAACATCTTATGCTGACGCCGCATTCATACATCGTATCACCCAGCAGCCAACGGTTTAGCCGAACGCTTCCATAGACAGCTTAAAGGCTCGATCTGCGCCTCCGAGCCAAAATGAAGCGAAAACGTTTCGCCCGTACACTTAGGCATTCGCAGCATCAAAATTGATTTTCATTGTGCACCAGCAGAACTGGTTTACGGCACAACGACAAAGTTGCCAGGAGAATTCGTTTCACCTCCCGCATCCTCGGGTATTCCTCCGCCTAACTTTGCGTCCTCAGTGGCTCAACGCATACGTTCACTACGCCCCACGAGCAGACCAGAGATGTGCAAATGCATAGAGGACTCTCTACCCAAACTCATGTCTTCCTCTGCACCGACGCAGTGCGTTACCCTCTCCAGCTTTCTTACACTGGCCGTTCCAGAGTCCTGCAACAAATTCCGGAACATTTGACCTTAGACCAGAATGGTCACTGAACAACGCCGTCCAATGACCGTCTCAAAGTGGCTTCCTTTGATGAACCACTTGCAATCCATCCGGATGCTCTCACACAAGCACCCGCACCTGCGGTGACTTCCCGATCACTAGGTACCTGGAAACGCTCCGTTTCCCTTGACCCTCAACCTACCCCGACTCAACCTCAGGCAACGGACCGACGCGGAGGATAGGTCAAACGTCCAGTCCGTTATATAGAGTTTGTAAAGGTTTGCTGTTTCCATTAAGACGCCTTTTAATAACAGTACCTACGTTTTCACAAACTGCTTTGGTGAGTTACATAGACCATTCCTCACCAGACTCCGATGGCTCGGCCACGTGTTACGCATGCCAGCCCACCGACTTCCGCGACGTGTGTTGTTTGCACGCCGGGGTTGTGGATGGAATAAGAAGAGGGGTGGCCAAGCGATGACGGTCGAGAGGAATGAAAGCCCTCACTTCGAAGCTGGATTCGGTTGGAGCGTCATGGCTCCTTGGTTGGGGTCCGAAAGACGATGAACAAGTTTAGCTGGATACACTTGTTGATATGGCTAAGAGCCGACCTCAATGGTCTTCGTGCTGTGAGTTCCATTGTCCCTCCCCATTCCTCTTGGCCTCCCCATCCAACCACCATCTCATTATTTGACATTTTATAACTACGCATTGGGAAGTACTTGTTTTGCTGCATAGTAGCTGGCAGCTAGCTTACCGGAACGATGCCCATCCGTTACCAGTAGCTCAGTTGGCTTGCACCTGTAGCATTTTTCCCCTTCTTTTCTTTTAGGTATTGCAGCACAGTAGCTGAGGTGTTTCCCACCTCTCGCTAAGGTGTATAGTTTATGTACACCGTTCCTCGCTCCTGTTTATTCGCTTCCTATTTTTGTAGCCTGCACAATACACGTTAGGTTCTGTCGCCTCTAGCTTCTATATTGTCCTGTAGTTGACACGTTTCTTACGTATCATTGATTTGTGACAAGTATCCCATGAGCCACCTAACAACAGCCACTGACGAATTGCCGCTAGAAACACTGCTTTACACATAAGGGGCCATCCTTAATCGACTGACAGAGGCATCAAATGCACCGCCTGAACGGGTCTCTTCGCAACCTACGAGATGGACCGACCGGAAGCGCCGTCCAACAACTGGATCCCTGGAGTTCTAGATACGAGATTGCTCATGAGAGGTGTAGAGAAAAGACCATATTTCCTAAGAACTACACTAGAAGCCAAAACCATGGACTTATTGTTAGACACCATTTTGACTTTTAAACGGTGCGCGCTATCTGTTCCCGCGTCAAACGATCACGGTGACTGGTTGATTTGGCAAGACCGTTAAATGATCAGAACCAATCATGAATGTTGGCGTGCTAATAGATCCCGTGTCCGAGGTCTTGTCTTCTTTCCTTCCGGGGTTAGGGGCTATAGACTGGTGCCGGATTTATGTCGCATTTATGATACCGTGTAGTGATTTCGTTGCGTGTGTGTTTGTTCCGAATTGCGTTAGTGGCTAGAGGATCGCGGATGAAGAGAGAGGTGGATTCCTTTCGGGCTGCAGCACCATAGAAATGGAGTTCGCGGGAGAAATGCCGTGAGCGAAAGCTGCCACTGCACTCGCTGTTTGTCGACTTCACGAAAGCATTTGACCCGGTAAACTGCAAGGCACTGTGGTTGGTGTTGGGTAAGTTAGGTTGCCCGATTAGGTTGGCAAGGCAAGTTAAATGGCAGAAGTGATATGTGAGGGTGCAACTAGGTGGACAAACTTCGGATAACTTTTATCTCGTTTGTGTTGTGAAGCGAAGTTGTTTTAACGACTGCCAGTTAGCTAACTGTTACGACGTTAAGTGCATTCAGTGCTTGTGGTTATGGTGTCCGTCTCGAGAACGATGGTAGGTTGCTGAACATCCGTCGGTTCGGAGTGAGAACCTGCGTGAGTGAAACAAGAATCCGGATATCGTTGTTTGCACACAGCAAGGATGAGTTGCAGCACATGACGTCAGTTCTCGCTTCGATAGCAGCATATTCCGGATTCACTGCTAACACAAGTAAGCTAGTGTCTCTTCACAGCCAACAAGAATGGAGCTCAAAGGCTCGCTCAAATCAAAATTTTGGGCGAAATATTGGAGAACTCATCAACATTTTGCTAATTTGAGAGCAGATTGTCAACAGGCTTGCAGATGACAACCCATAGATCGAAAGGTGCAGCTGTTCGCAAGTTGAAAAATCGAGTGTGGAGGAACCATTAGCTGAGCTATGGAACCAAATTGATGGCATACGGCAGCGAATGATGGACGCTGTATAAAAGGGGTATCGGCCTTCTGGAACGATTTCACTAGTAATACATGTGAGGGATTCTGCGCATCGATGATGTGACAGAATTCCTGACACGGAGGTGTCTTGTCGGAGTGGCATGTATGGGATAGATTGCATGCCGATACTGCGACATCTGAAGTGCCTCGGTCATGTACGTCGCATGGATGAGGGTGGAATACTAAAAATACCTGTCCTATGGCCAGCTTAGTACTGAGAAGCGGAACGTGGGCAAACCGAAGTTACATTACAAGGAGTTAGGTAGGGTGTTTATCACGAACTGATTTTGGCACTAGGTGTTTGGAAGCAATGACAGTGGGTCGCATCCAATGACGTGATCACATCAAGAATATGATTGCCTCGGCGCACCAGAAAGGACTGTTGCACTAGGAAGAAATTCCCGTCTCGTAAGTGCCAGATGCTGACGCAGCCTGGTCTGTCGATATCATGCATCTGATGCTGGAGCATATGTCTAGTACATTGCTTCCGATTCCATTTATTAACCCAGCTCAATACGTGTGCCACATCGTCTTTGTAGATGGGCTGTGTTTATTTTCATTGTTGATCGATATCCCCGGTGTGGCTGCGCTTGATGCAAGTAATGGAAAGGTGCCTGCCTGTCAAAAACCGCCAACTCGGTAATACCGGCTACAGGAGACATGTAGTCGTTGCTAGGAGAGACGAGGTTCACAGTCTTTGTGACGGTGCTTTGCGAAATGAGTGGTTCCATAAAGTGTGGAACGGGTTAGGACTCAGTCATCACTCTGTGTGCGTCTTGTATGTATGTGCCCCCCTATTCGTCAAATGAGTGAATGGTGTGCATGTTAAAGGAGTGCGGGCAGGCTCCGGATCAATCGTGGCTCTCATCTACATGTCTCATAGTCTTACTCCAGATAAACACCGGATATGGATATGTATATGCTTAAATACTTCGATATGAGGTGTCATGGTGCGCAGACTAAACTGAAAAGGCCTAGGGTTAGTCCACATCAGGTGGCGATGTACAAGTGAAAATGATTGTTCTTGAGCTAACCACGCTAGGAGCCGACCATGCTCCATGGGTAAGAAAGGATGAAAATTTCAGGACAGAGTAAACGGGTGTTTTTGAATCACAACGGGTGTTTTAAAGGTGGAACGGCTAGAGAAACGGATGTGAAATAAAAGAATAAAGTCAATTTATTTTCATAACTTCTTGACCGGTGCACTGCAGGAAATTACGCGAGGAAAGAATATAAGAAGTTGCAATCAACAATTGCCAACGTCTTCGTGCGGCAGCAAAGCGAAGAGCGGCCACCTCACTGTAGGTACAGCCGCCAGGGAAAACAACCACTACTGGCTGTTTACCAGGTCGCGATGGAATGTAATCCCTTGAAAGATGTCGGTTACACCCGTGTCCATTCACAACGCCTGAACCCGTGGATGATTCCTCAGAGAGGCTGACCAAACCAAGTCTGGAAGCGGCTGAAAGGAAAACAATACGACCGACTGTACATAGTGCAGTGACATGAAGATAAGAAACAGAGAACTCTCACATCTACGGACGCCATACAAGGTAGTGAGTGGCTTTACTCCAAGTACTGTTAGCAGTGCTTGGTTCCAGGTAACGAACGATTGTTTCAAGCAGGACAGACACCAATAAGTTAACTAGGCCTAGGTGGGGGATACTGTGAGGCCGTGGTTGTCACAAGGGAGTAGACCGAGGCGCCAAGCAGCATGTTTTGAGGAGACGTGACTAGGAAGCAGAGATACACATACACAGACGACACTGCTTACTCGGCCGGATGGCGTTCGGTGACTACATAGTGAAATAAGCAACTGGATGACAACCCAGTGGTCTCGTATCCCTACCATCGCAAAACCGAAGACAGCTATAAGACGTTTCTTATACACTAGACCCACAGAGAAACGTTGATCAAATGGTAGCCAAAGAACCTTCAAAGTAAAGTAAACATGATACATGAGAAAACAGGATATGGGAACATTCTAAACAGAATAAGTGGGTTATCGATAGCAATGCAACGTCGGGTGCAGCATAAATAAAAGAAAACAATATATGATGGATTCGCATGTCGAAAGAAAACTAACGCTGTCGTCATCGTGTTACGACAGTAGCTAACTCCAAGGCTGCAAACTATTGAGGGTGCTAATGGTGAATAGATCATCTCAGACAAAAATACTTCTCACTGCACTTTGTACAATGTGATCATACTACAAAGATTTCAAAATAAATCAACAGGCAGTGTCTTGCCGCGAAACCGCATAGAAGTGGATATCTGTTTTGAAATATGAAATAAACGTGATATGTTAGTCCAGTGGTGCAAGAAACAGGAGTCATGTGTAATGGCATAGAACTACTTTAACACAGATAATTACAGTTATATGCAGAGGGGATGAGCATTAGAATGCCGCCACAGGATAAAAGGATGTGAAAAGTCGAAATTATCAACAATGCAATGCAACAACGATATAGTATGGCTGAAAAGCCAAGGCTTAATAGGTCTCGCGGGATGGTCTCTGTCAACTACGTAAGTAAAAAACGACACAAAAGTGAAAAAGGCATTTGTGGACTCACCATATTATCTAGGTTAACACATAGGTATATCCGTATACCTCGATTTAGTAGGGGTTAATGAGCACAATGTTTTTCTGCGTCTTGTCGTCACTCGATGAACAGAAAACAACTCAAGTAATGCATATGGTGTAACGCATTGTTGAGTCGTTTTAAAAAAAATGGGTAGCGTGGGCGCAGAAATGACAAAAGTCGAAAGAGCGTTACGCGGCCGACAAATTACAAGCGAAAGATAATTCCGTCGGCATTCCAGCTGAGTGTATTAGGTGGCCAGTTTCAGCTGCGTGACCCCTCAATTTTGTGTTGTAGCTAAGTCTCAGGAAGTGGCGACAAGCGTTATCGGTTTTTCAAAATCTGCTACACGACGATAATTTCCGTTGTACACTTCTAAGGCCTCCAGTCGAAGATGGAATGGTAGTTGAAACAACCGTTTCGCATTTTGCGTTGTCCTTACTTGTTGGGTCTCCAGTGCAACCAGATCGCGTTCTAACCAGCTTTGCCAGGCCCGAATCGCGTACTCTAAGTGGAACCTTACATACCCATTTAGCATATGGGTACGATGGAGTGGTACAACCGCGCGAACGCCCTCCGTATAAAAGCAACTTGTTGGTTCGCGGTTTTGGACGCCTTCAGAGATTGTGCCGAACAGCCGAGGTCCTCTTGCATCACCACTATAAGATCGCACTCCTTTGAGGCGAACTTCAAAATGCCTTCGAGCATAGATGCCTTAGTGGGCTTGCGGCGGACATGCGCAGTTTGGTATTTTGTTCGCGTTAAATAGAAGTACGTTTGTCTTTGACCATTCACAAGCACGGTCTAACTCCCGTTGCAGCAGATCGTGATCTTCCTGACTACCGATCGCTCGCCATATCTCGATATCACTGACAAAAAGCAGGAAATTTGACTCGATGACACGCGTGAGGTCGTTAATGAAGACCAAGAATAACTGCGGTCGCAACAGTGACCCATGTGGAACACCGCAGTCCGCATCAACAGAATCAGAAAATGAGTCCCGAATCCGAAACTGAAGCCGCCGCTGAAGGAGGAAATTTCCGATTCACCATATATATATATATATATATATATATATATATATATTCATTCATCACAGTATGTAGTACAGATACTGTGCCATCGGAATCATGACGGAATAAAAACAGGGTCGGAATAAGAAAAAAATGCAACGCTTTTGTCTGATCTTCCACTCACAGTTTTTGTTTTATAAATAGCTTGTTTTGATAGGGAAGAGAAAGGGAATCGCAGGAACACTCAGAGATGTCCACCATTGATGTCGGTCCTGGGCCATGACTTCCAGGGGATCCAACAAGCGACATTCCGTATCTCGGGAATCGAAACCAGGGTGTAGAGAACAACCGACCAAGGCCAACTGTTTAGTCAGCTTTTTCATGCTGCCTCTCCATGTTGTAGGTTGTCCACCGCGATAGAGAAATGGGTGTCATGGCGGCGTCACAAGTATCTCAGTCCGGAGAAAGTGAGACAAGCTCTTGGGATACGTATTGAAATTCCGTCTAGAACAGCTACACCGGCAGTGATGCAGCTTCCCAGGTGGACAAAATTCTCCACAACCTCAAGTGTCTCACCACCAAAAGTGAGTGCAGGTAGAGGTATCTTCCAGTCTTGAAAAAGAGCTTTACACTTGAATGGGGAAAAAACTATGCCATACTTTGACGCCTCAATCGCCTAGCGGTCAAATGCAAGTTGGACGGCCTGTGGGCCGCTACCTAGCAAGACTACATCAGCGCACCAAGTCGAATAAAATATGGGGCTTCAGTGGACTGTGAGAAAGCTGTGACTGCTGGGCATCGAACACCAAGAGTTCGACTCTGGCTTCCGTCAGGTGCGACCAGTCAGCTGCTGTTGGCATTGACCTGGAAGGACACAAGTGAAGTTGAAGTAAGGGACGTGGGACGATCTTTGAGTAGAGGTTGCGCAGTGGGGCCAGTAGAGCCAGCACACATAGCAAGAGAGTGGAAGCAGTAGTATAATCCATCCATGATCCGTCAGTGGGCATGATAATACCCGGTTTCCCAAGCCGAAGTAGAGGGTTGACTTAGGGGGTCCTACCCCGAGCATTTGATCAAGAGCGATATGAGGGCGTCACAACCCGGTGGCAGCCGGTGATCAAATAAGTGGTTCATACGTCTTTAGTACTGCAAAGTACAATGAGCCAAACACATCCTGAAATAACAATGCCACACAGAGGGGAGGAAGAGGCGGTGAGTAGTTAACAGCGGTGCACATCCGTTATGCCACAATGTTCTCAAAAGGACAAATGTGACACTTTATGGCGAAAATCCGCCATGTCCTGGAAGACTGTCGTCGAATCATTCGAAGGAACGGGATAATGCCGAACCACCCAGCTGGCACCACGATGAGGTAATTTTGCAAGCGGGAGTGGAACCCGAAATGTAGACGTTTCAATCCACATGTCTGAACATGTGCGTCACAGATCACCGTAGTATTGTGTGCTATTCAGAAACAAACTAGATATGAGAGTTACCAGGTAAAACTAAATCGTCCTTATGGTTGGATACACCAACCACATGGATGATCATCGATCAGGAAGCAATTACAACTCCTGATCGCGACAAAGGAAGGGAACGCATGTCGGCAACCGTAAAACTGTTGCAACGTGAGCACACTAAAAGCTGAAGATCGATATCCGGAAAGGATGCAGGACTTACCATCGGCTGTCATACCAAGGTGCTTTAGAGATTGCACAATATTTTCTCTGCTGATAAGTTCGGGGTCATCGGGGCTGTAGGTTTTTGCCTGGGATCCGTCTAAGTATCGATTTGATTGGCCAGGATCTCGGGTGAAATGCGTGTAGGTGGCCCAAATTGACTCAGCCAAGCGCACTACGATGGGGCAGTGTTCACCAGAGAAAACGTAAGTGGGAGATATTGGCCCTTGATCGAACCGCCTGTTCGTCTGACCAGCATGGCTCAGGTGGAGGAGGTGATGAAGGCGACTTCGGAAAAGATGGACAAATAGAACACCAAGTGCTCGTGCTCACAACAGAGATGGACGTGCAAGCTAAGACAACAGTGAGCGAAAACCAAAGCCATATTGAGGAGTGGCTGTCAGTGCCCGGCAGCCCAATATTCTGTGGTAATTAACGATGGGAAAAATAAACGGTTCTTCATTTTGCTTTGGATTACCTGCAGTGTGTCCATGCTGTGACTTTAATGTGGACCGCAAATCATTCTGAAGTAAATGCATCCAATCCTATCAAGTAACCCGTATCATAAATAGGGATATTTGTGGTGGTATTAACTCTCCAAAGTGTATTCTACAATTGGCTTCGGCTTCGCTTGCACTTCTCAGGGACAGTCTGACTGGGATTTTATACTACAGGCCTCATGACTGTCAGCTAACGCTTTCCCCAATTGACTAATATGTGCTGTGGGCAATGCCAGTCACAGTGGTTACGAACTCGGTCTGGACTGAAACATCTGTTATTCGTTAAGTTCACTCGGAGTGCAACATTGAGAAAAGAGGGCTAGGTTACTTAAAATAAATACTTGGATACTAAACACTCGAGTAACAAAGACGATATTAAAACACAAGAGCACCAACATAGACCACCAGAAAGGACAAATAAAACCATCTAAAGGAGATTGGATCTTAATGATTATCTGCGCGCCCCGTGATCCCCCGAGCTACGGTGAGTGGTAACTACCAAATGCCTTCACAACCACTAAGAGGGTAGGTAAATGAGCAGAGATCAGGTAAACTGTTGCTCGGCGCCATCCAAATAAGAGCTCGATGAGAGGATGACGAGCCAAAGGTCGCACACGTTACATTCCACGGAGTGTATCAAGAAAGGAGAAGCAGAAAGCATCAGCAGCACATCAGTGCTGCGCAGGGACGCCTCGATGCCACCCGACCAAAACCAGTAGCGTGTAGGCTAAGAATACTGCGAAGTCACTCGCACCTACGCAGATTCGAGTCGGTGACCCTTAGGTTATGGGTTGACACTTGGGTGCATCATCTAGTCGAAAACCCACCGTTATCAACCACCTTGATTCCTTCGTACGTTTAATCAGCTGTTCAGGTATCCTTTCAAACAAATACAGACTACAACTGCTTCGTCAGCTACACTAACGATGAGATCGCGGCCTCATTCAGACCCAAGGTGCTGTCTGGCATCGGGTCTTTCAACGTTCATACACAGTGTCAGGTCGCTCAGAAGGGGATATTCATCATGAAGTTGCACTCCCTCCGAGTTGAAGTTGCGACACATCTGCTTTTAACATGTCCGGATTCTAATGGCAGAGTATACACTTTACGTTGTCGATGAGCCCGATTCTTTCGCCTGCGGCAGCTACAGCACCAGAGTTGTTCTTGGCAGGAGTGCAAACGTCCATCCTGTATTATGGACCCCAGTGGACAGCCGCATTTGTGCCAATAAACGTGAAATCACATGCGTATTCCAATTAGTTCCTTATTCCCGATGAATTGTCTTTAACATTATTATGATTATTATGATTATTATTGTGAAGTGACTTGAGGGCATTGGATACTCTCAATTTCGGTTAAAAAATTGTTAAAACAAATAGGAGAAACAGAAGCAAGAGTTAATGGACGGCCATCGTCCAACTCGATTAATGACCGTGTGTCCGCGTAGTGAAGCAGTGAGACTGCTCAGTATCAACAGTAGGACAAAACCCTGCCTGGAGAATCTCCCCACAATACAACCCCACGTGATTTAGTCAGTTGTGCAAACTTCAGTTGCCGCATACACTTGCTGAATTGTGCCGGCACAACCTATATCCGTTTCCTTAAGTTACCATGAGCCAGAATCATATCATGCAGAGGCGAGATAGCTGCAAGTATTTGACTCCAAAGTATCCATATGAATAAACGCGCGAACAAGATCGTATAGTTGCTACATAATTCTACGAAAACTTTGTTCCAGGGTGATACAAGATAACTGCAGCACCATTATAACAAAATAAACTGGGCAATTTTGACAATGACGCGTTAATCCGCTCACTTGTATAAGGACTTTCGTCGAGACAATAAAGTGAGACGAGAGACTGCAGAAGAAAGGCTATGGACAGAATGCCTCTCTCTGTCAGGTGAATGCTTAGCAGAAGTATAAGGTGATAAAATTCGGAGACACCGGAAGGCGAAAAGCATAGGGAACGCAGCCTGACCGATCGCATGAAGAAATGTGCTATGCACGGCGGAGTACACCTCATCTCCCAAACCGTCGTGAGTCACAGAGGCCAGAGAAGCTAGACGGAGCCCATCGAGTAGACGCGCTCCGTGGCTGAAAAGAAGAGGGAAAGAAGCGAAAATCACTACAAAAGCAGTTATTAGTGTGAGAAGTGTGATAAGATAAGAAATGAAACTTATAAGCCAGTAAACAGATGCAAAGTTCCTTAGTAACACAAGTGGATAAGTAAAAAGGCTCTGGACAAATGATGATAGGCTGAAAGGGTATACTAACTAATAAAAAACATCGTTGCTGCTCAGATGCCGATAGAAGCCAATCAAAACGAAAGGATTCGACCGAGGAAGAAACTTCACTGTCTATGTGAATGACATAAAAAACCATAAGAGGATTTAAAGAATCGCGTAGTCGATGGACGGTAAGGCAAATATCCTTGAAATAGCGAAACGATGCAACCAGGTCACTGTTCGGAGCAATAATATCTACTGCATCAGATAACGATAGCCAAACTCGCTAGGCATCAAGCATTTGCTTCGGACAAAGCGCCTCAAGAACAGCTTGGATGGATGTATCTACGAAACCAAAAGTAACAGAGAATGTAGCTAGATTTAGTGAAGAACAATCATAACTCGAGTACACTGAAGTAGTTCACAGATTCGGCAACGGACTAACATAAGATTTGCCGTCAAGGATTGCCTACAGAGAGGATGTGGCATCCTCAGACCACGCAGGCCTGGTGGATGCACCTAACTGTGGAATTTCTGAATGTCACTCAGATTCACTGAACTGGCCCACTTATGCCTCAATCGATAAGGGTGGTGAGATTGATTTCCTGTTCTGCTATATTATCGCTGCTCACCGTATGCGTTTACAGTCGGAATATCCCTAAATTCATTCAGTCATGCGAAGTTGGATAGGTAGATGATGCTCAAATACAATATGACTGGTAAGTAAAGGCAACAAAGCGATGTGAGATGATGGGAAAGTTTGCTATGCAAAGACGCTGGACTGTGCATAGCTAGAAAACAAGTACATGCAAAATGGTGATGGAACCTAAAACAATTACCAGGAGGAGTTTGGAAAGCACATAGATGTCCACAAATGATAAACTACGAGGATCCTGACACTAAACTTACTGGGTACTGAACAACTCAATAATTAGACGGACCGGCATAGAAGTGAGTGAATCAGCATCAGTTCCACATGATCCACCAGCGCCTGGTGCTAAGGTGGTGCTGCTGTTAGAAGACTGATCCGATTCGTTGTTGGAAGTGTCTTTGTTACTAACTGAAGCCAGGCGACCCCCGCTGCCGGAACGTAACAAAATGGTCTGGGCGGCTCTGAGATCCTCGACTCTTTCACGGCGAGTCATCACTTCCATGATATATTCGAGAACCAGAGAAAGGAAAGTAAGTTCCCTTCGCTTTTCAAGTAAGGGACGAAATTCCGTATTCAACTGTTTCAGTGAACAAGAGCCGCTCAGCGATCCCGGAAAAGTTGGCGAGCTTAGCACGAGATTGCTTGATTGTTGTAGTTCTGCCTGTGTGCTTTGTAGACTCTTGCTCCAAGCAGCCAGAAGAGTGTGAACTTGGGAGATATGAACATCGCGCACATCCTTGAAACGAAGAAAGCGAAAGTGACCAGATGAAATACCCTTTTTGGCTGCTCGGTAGTACCTATATAGTCAACATGAGAGTAAAATACGCACAAAGTGGTAACCCAAAAGCATGAACTGAACATCAGCATCCCAAAGTTACGACGCCAATAGTAATGGGTAGGAGTGGCGCAGGTGGACGTCACTAATCGAAGTGATGACAGGAATGTGATGCAGATTAGTGGAAAAGTAGTGAAACACAACCTAGAGGAATAGGGAAGAGTGGAGCACGTAAGCAGTTCATTGAGCTGGGAAAGAAGTGTGTGACACTATGATTGACAACAATGGGTGCCTGCAATCTCTAGATTGTTCGCAGATATAGAAATACTTACTTTATAATAATGGAGCTTGTCACTGCTAAGTAACTGCTTTCGCATAGATTTGTCTGGACAAACAGACTCGGGGAGTTCAACAACGCCTACAAATGAAAATGTATTTCACGTCAAATGCACCAAAGGCCAAATGTGTCTCAGTGGGAGAGAAAAAATGTCATAATTTCAAATGGGTGTAGATAATGATCGCCATCTGCAAAAGGCCAGGTAGCGAATCATGGTGACACAGGGAACATTAATATATGTCGCCTACCGTGCCAGTAGACATACAGTCGCACCGCCGGACTAGATAACGAAGAAGTTAAATCTGAAGCATATCACCGCCTATCCGACGCTATTTACTGAACGAATTTCTCTCATCGACATTGATGCGCATTCAAAACATCTGCTTTCACTAAATGGGAGGTGTCTAGACGCTCACAGCGTCGCCACAGGCTTCTAACCGAGTCCGTACTTGTGCTTTAAGGTGAACGATAGATTTGAGCGCAACCTCATCACCGATAACTGATTGCGTGGTAGGCGCCGTGTAATCCTGCGGCGAGTGCTGTTTTGAAAATTAGTGTTCGCGAAAAATAAACGCGCATCTTCACATTAGTGTAGTAACCGCTCACCGTCAAAATTACGGGAGTGCATGGCCGCCTAGATGTAGTTCATCAAGGTACAAGTTGAGCGTTCAGATCGCTAACCAGAACTAAGGTATTTGTACTTCTGTGACGGAGATAGTTCAATTGACAATAGATGGACAGATAGATAACAGCAGTAGACCAGTACGAAATACTGACGCTTTGCAGCCGCGAAAGCACCACCAATCGCGCGTGAGATAAGGTCACTGTGACGGTTGCTCGGTTTCCTACCCAGGCTCGAACTCACGTCCTCGGATTACAAGACAGGTCTGTGATCTTTTAGACCAGGGACCGGAGATGGGCGTAAGTGCTACAGTTTGTGGGGACGTAGTCAACAAAGGTTCCGCATGAGTTTGAATGTTTAGACAAGTTTGTCAATCTGATCTCTTACAGCTGGATACTGATCCAGTCAACCAGAGAAGCTACAGACTAGACTCAGGGCAATACCCACACCAGCATGATCGGGATCTGAAGCTGCGTTAACTCCGGTAGGCGCGTTGCAAAAATACCGTTAGGGTTAGACAGAAGGGATCGTAAGTTGAACACAGCTCGAATTTATGAGGCGCGTTTCAGATAAGCAGCAGATATTGATCGAGAGGGCAGTTGCTGTCTGTGGACCGGTCAAAGTGTGTACCATGAGGCACGCCAATCACAACGAGAATCAGCTCATGGAATTGAGACTGAATCTTAATGTGTTGTGATGATTTGCGTGCTTAAATGAGCCAGTGACCTAGGCTGGGTGGTGCCTTCAGAGCCACTCGCACCAGATTGGTCAATCGATAGAGTCCAGACAAACTCCGTCTCCTGATCCACCAGGTTGGGTCTTGGAGTGAGGATGGTCCCTCACTCCATAAAACGGACTCTGTGTCAAATACGCTGCATCGCCAACAGGTTTGTTAACTAAACAATTTGGTTGATAACCCTTATCGTTCGCCAGTCTAGGAATGGGCAAACTGACAGAATCCTACCAAGGTAATATAATACAATGAACCTTTCCTCAAACAATTTCTTGGTACGCTGGCCATCGCAGATGATACTGAACAGCCCCCTATCTGCTGCATCGAGCAGGGTGAATGCGTCAGGATTATATTGCTTGAAGTGTCTCGTCTTCTTATTTACCGCACTTCATCACTGTCGTCCCGCTCCAAGTTCACTTTTATCCCCCAGTTTTCAACCCGTAATTCTTGGCCTTTCCCCCGTCTTGATTCAGTAATCGTTTAGTTTATAGTTACCACTCACAAGTAATTGTAGGGCGTCGCTCAGGTCTAATCGACAAACCCTTGTCCAAACAAGTGGACAACGTCAGTTCATCCGTTTCTCTTTGGAGCCCTCGATTCTCGCTAAGGCTGGTATGCCTCAACGTGCACACTCTGTTACAGATTGGCCAACAGACAACACATGTCCGAAAATTGGAGACCCTATCGATCGATACTTGCTGTTTGTCGTAAACTCGCCTGCAAGATTCGAGCGATGTACTTATCCTGCGATCCCCCACCTGCACACTGGCGGCACTTTCACAATGCGTTTGTCCGGAGATGATGCAGCTACGAATGCTGGTCAAGCCAATTTGGGTATTGCTCTGAGCTCCCGGAGTGAAGCTGTCCTGATCGAATAGATCCCAGCCAACAGCTCCGAAGTTGCGAGGGAACGAACCGCGCCTGGTAGTCATTGCTGTATACGCGCCCACGTACCCTAGCCCGGATTCGGTGAAATATGACTTAACGCGCACTTTCGTTACAATAAAAGTACGGGTGCTGGCTGGTGATCTCAACGCCTAAGTTGAAAAACTGTTCAATGATGAGCTACATCTGAGCAGCCAACATAGTGTACGCTCTCGTAATGATAACGGTGAGCGGTTGCTAACCAGTGCGAAGATGTTCGTCCATTTCCCGCAAGCACTAGTTTCCGACACACAGCACCTACCAAAGTGACAAGGTGATGATTAGCCATGGACACAAATCGATCACATCGCGATCAGTTACCGTGCGAGAGGTTGTGCACAAAACTATCACTCGATTTGTAGCATGAACATGGACTCCGACCACGCAGTTGTCTGTGCCGATGTGTGGGTGGGTGTCGGCGGACATTCGCAACGTCGCTGTGAGCGCATAGACACTAGTTAACTGGCGAAGCCAGGTATCAACAATACGTTGGTACTCAGTGACGGCGATTCGCTGCCGGGCAGCCACCACTAGACACGCATGGACTACGGGTATTACGAGAGTTGCCCGGTACCCTACGCAGGCTCGAACCCGCGACTTCAGACTACAAGGCAAGCTTGTGATCCTTAAGGCCACGGGACGACAGATGTACTAAACGCGTGTCAAAGTACGCTGATATCCGAACTGAATGAACGCTCACTTAACACAAGTTAAGATCACTGGTAGCAGATTTCCCAGACGTTATTAGCAGCAGGCATGTCTACGTGTGGCAAATCAAATTGTCAACCTGGACATTGGGTCTCAGCGCAGTGTCTAAAACCTCGGATGCTTGCCGACATATTCCGGCTAGAAGCGAACACAACGAGATTTGCAAGGACCTCAAGGCGAAACTGCGTGCCAGTCCTTAAGAAGACCGAGAAGGAAGGTGGCTTCGATGTGCATGGGAGATGCAAACAGTCGCAGTGTTGATAACCGTCGTAATGTATCGAGTCTGATACCCAAAAACAGGCACATCTGGTGTTTGCGAGGTTATATGCGAAGAGAATGGACAGTCCGTCCAGTTTATCAAACCATGCGGAAGGTTGAGCCGAACACTAAGAAAAGCAGTTTGATTAATAAGAGTTAATAGCCACCTTATCAGCCATCGATCGCCCTTCTCCCTGGGAGCTGCCCTCACTCACAGAGGTAGAACGTGAGAGTAACTGTCGAAAACGAGTGAGACCATAGCAGCAGATAGACATCCTCCAACCCTGATGGAGGGGGACCTGCTCCCGTAGATAATTTACACAACCCGCTTGTGAAGCTTCAAGAGAAGGAAACTGTCATAACAGACTGGAGGTGCTCCGTTATAGTCCCAGTTTTCACGTGACGCTCAAGTTCGGAATGAAGCGATCATAGAGGAAACATCCTGATCTCGATTGCCTCTAAGGTACTCACTCTGCCATTCCTACTAGACTTGATGGCACTCGTGAAAATTAGATTCGCGAGGACCACGCCAGGTTTCGTGGAAATGGAGGCTGCATTGACCATGTGTTTACTTTACGTTAGTTGTTGAAGCACCGCCATATTCACTAGAGACCCAACGTAGTCATGTTCCTCGATGTCAAAAGTGCAGTTGCTTCGGTGGATCGATGTGACCGAAAATGATCTAAAGATAATGAGAACGCCATACACGCATAGTTCGGACCGAGTGAGGGTTTATGGCAAACTGAAGCCACCTTTCAATATCTCCAGCGGTGTGGGACAAGGTTGCCTACTGCCATCTTTCCTTTTTAACTTCACCACTGATGAATTCATGGACACGGCGTTCACTGGACACGAGTTACACGGTGTGGAGCCGCCTCCAGATGAATTACTTCTAAAGTTGGAGTACACCGACGACCTAGCCCTCATCTGTGACAGTTTTCCAACTTACCAAGTGGCAGTGGACAAATCAGCACTGGCTGTCAGTCGTTTTGAGCTGTGATTTGCACCCTCTAAATGCAAAGTCCTTCTCCAAGATTGGTAGGGACCCAACCGTGCGCTGACCCTTAGTAGGGATCAGTCAGAAGTCGTCGAGAAATTCAAGTATTTCGGCAGCTATATCAGCATCAATAGAAAGGAAGGTGAGATCACAAACCCGATAGCGAAAGCTCGAGGCGCTTTTGCCAATCTCCGTCAACTGTGGTGCCGGCGCGATATTACTCTCGCCTTGAAAAGCAGAGTTTACAATGCAGCCGTTCGTTCAACCCTTTTGTACGGTTAGGAAACTTTGTCCATAAGATTGACATACCTAAAGTTCGACAATCGCTGCCTTCGCAGTTTATCTCATGGTTGGTGGGTACACCGCGTGAGTAATGAGTGTGCCCGATGTGCAGGAAGAGCGAGTAGGTCGCTCAGCACTATTCTTTCACACATCAGACTACGATGGCTGGATTACGCGTTGCGCATGCCAACAAACCGACTCCTGCGATGTGTGCTGATTGCAAGGCCGGGGTCTAGATGGAAGAGGCGGAGACGAAGCTAACCGATGAGTTAGTCAAGAGGAATGAAAATACTCACTCTGAAGTGGGTGCCGGTTGGTGTCTCCCGACTGCCGGGTTGGGGTTCTAAGGATGATGAACACGTTTGGTTGGATACACTTGAAGAAATGGTAGAGGCTACTCCTAATGGTGCTTGAGTTGTAACTTTCTCTGTGTCGATTCGCTTTTCTGTCCAATCACACTGCGCATTACATTACTTATGTTTTGTGTACTAGTGATGGTTTAGTATCTTCGTGTATTGCGCCGTAATAGCTGCGGTGTGTTTCTTACCCTCAGCTAAC